TGGGTCAGAGGGGGGTGGGTTGTGATGGGCGAAACGGTTTGTCCTGGATGTTTTTCCTGAAGCTGAAAGGCCTGGAGGACTAGAACTAGTCTAAAAAAAAAATAAAAATCATAGCTGTTTCCATTTTGCAGGGTTCAAATCTGACCTCTTCCTCCCTCTTTTTTGCAAAAAATAATAATTACTAGTGATTTTTATTGAAACAATAATCCAAGTTTCTCATTTTCTGAAAACCCATTTTCTTTTTTGTGATATTTTTGATGATAATCTCAATTTAAAATTTTAATTACAAATTTTGGAACATGACCAAGTGGGGTTGGTTGGTTGTTTTTTTTGTGGGAAATTTTTCATTTTCTAAAAAGGCCAAAATTAATGGTGGTGGTGGTGGTTTTTAAATTTTCAGCAGACTCTATGAGCACAGTCCCCGAGTTGGGGTGGGTGGTAGCGTTTGCTTTGTCTTTGCTTCTTAGAGTAACCATGACTTAAAGTAGCAGGGAATACTGGGCGTCTCTCCAGATTGGCAATGCTGCTACACATCCTTTCTCTAGGTTGCCAGTTCGAATCCCATCCAGCTCAGGTAGTCCTTCTCATTCATGGCTCTGTGTGTATGTATTGTTTCCAATTACAAATGACACTAATTTAGCACCTGAAGAATGAACTATGCACTCCTTTCAGAACAGACATGCTGAAATGGGGGGACAGTATGGAGTAGGGAAGCTACTTGTTGAATAAATAGATTTACTCTGCAGAGAGATTAGTCCAGCACGTTTCACTAATCTATGGCGTTGCATGTACTACCCAAGTCCCATGGTGCAGCAATGCACAGGTGTTAGAGGTGAATAAAAACATGCTTTGGAGACAGGAGCTGCAGCTCGGGAGTGCATTGCCCAGCTTCTGGTTTCATAAGGAGGAAAATCACAAATATGGTTTCCTTAGAAACCATGCCCCTAGTGACCTTGGCAACACCAACAGCCTGTTGCTGTCCTCCAGAGGTTAGTCTGCTGATAGTGGCCAAAGTGGCGATGCTAAAGCCAGGTCAGATTTCGCTTTTTCCCACCTATAGGTTGTGGAGTATTTTATAAAAGCAGACGTGTACTGAAGAGGAAATCGAGGCACCATGAGCTGAAGTGACTTGCTCATGGATACAGGACAAGCCAGTAGCAGAGCTGGGAAAAGAACTCCGGAGTCGTGTATACGTCTCTCATGCCCTATCCATCGGATCTCTCTGGCTGCCTCCATACAATTGCTGCTGCCTTTGTTTTTCCTGGGCAGCCCTACTACTCTCATTCCAAGGAGATAAAGCTGGGAGCTCATTTGAGTGCTTGATGGAAATGAATGCCTACATTTTGATTAAACCATTCAGCTCATGGACTGATGCAACCTGCCAGCTGGCTTTTTTTAAAAATACTTATTTTAGCAGCATTAGCAGATTATCAAGGTTGAATAAATCTGCATGTCTGAGTCAGATGAATCTTCTGGGTTCACCACACACACATTCCTGTATGCCTGCCAGGGGATGGGACGTTCAACAATTGGTTCTAATGCTATCATGCAAATATGACAGTCTTGACTATTCATTATTGACTTATAAGTGTGTTCCCCAGTCCCTTCGGGGTTGTGGGAGCGCTGCTTGTCACAGGACAGTAGGGTTGCCAGCCCTCCAGGATTGTCCTGGAGTCTCCAGGAATTAAAGATTAAACTTTAATTAAAGATTGTCATGTGATGAAACCTTCCCGACCAGGTCCAACCAAAATTGGCAACCCTATGGGACAGTTGTGTCTATGCTCGCTTAGGGGATAAGATAATCCTGAATGATGGTGACAAGTTCTATGGAATATATCAGGGTAGCTAAGAGAAGAATTGAAACTTACTTTAGGGGAAAACTCCGTATTGTTGTCACTGTTAAGTGTAGACAAAAATGTTACCGGTTATTACTCTTCTGGTTAGTGGAGTTGACTTTTTTTTTATAGAAATAGTTAATGCCAGTAAATGTCCTTATGTGGATACAGTTTTACCAGTATAAGATGTCTATACCAACAGAGTTATTCCCCTTTCCAAATAGGAATAGCTATGCTGGTATAAATCACCTTTACACCAATATAGCTGTGTCCACACTAGGGATTGTGCTGCTTTAACCATCTACGTATAGCTAAAGCAGTGTGACTTTCTAGGGTAGACAAGCCAAGAGGAGGAAGAAGACTTTAGTGTAGCACTGTGAGAACCAAGGATGATTTAGTTGGGAATTGGTCCTGCTTTGAGCAGGGGGTTGGGCTAGATGACCTCCTGAGGTCCCTTCCAACCCTGATATTCTATGATTCTAAGGACTAATCAGGGGGAGCTGGTCAGACTTTTAAGTTGACCAGCTGGTATCCACCCCAGGCCCTCAAAGGTTCTGGACCCACATAGCTTGTAGAAAGAAATGTGACTCCGTGTATCTTTATAAACTTCATTAAAACCCATCAACCAAAATAAAAGCAGGGAAACATATAACCTAAAGTTAAGCTAGTATTAATATTAAACTCCAGTTATGAATACAACTATCAACTCAAGGTCAAATTAACAAATTAGTCTTGATGTTGGATTAGAATTAAATCTTCAAATTAATACCCTAAATAATCAATCCTTATAAATTCTAAGATGAAGGTGGATGTCCATTTGATTATAAATACTAACTAAAGAATTCTACTAATGTCAATCATATATATAGCTTGAACGGTTAAATATGTTTAATACTGAAACTGAATTACTATCTAAAGTCTGGACCACAAACTCCGAGCCAATTTTAAAGCTTCCTTGTTAGACTTCAGTTCTTGTGCGGTGGCTAACCCATTCCTCCCCTGTCCCAGCAGAGGTCTAATACAGGCTTTAATAGAACACTCTTGTTAAGAAGTTTGACAACTCTTCTTTACCAGAAATTACAGCATGCAATCTCCAGCTTCTCAAGACGTTTAAACAGAGAATGCACTCTGAATAATTTTATGAGACAATACTTAGGTCTGTTTAAACCTGGGGAACATGGACACAGCCACACTTTCACCCCACAAAATAAAAAGGGTGGGATGTTGTCCAGTGAATAAAAATAGAACATTTGAGATAATAGGGGTGTTGCAAACTCTTCAGCACTTGCAGTCATCTGCTCTCATAGTATCGGGGCTGAATCTGCAGTCAAGTAGCCAGATGATGATGATCCACTGACGCAGCGCTATGTGCTAGCGGGCCTGCTTTGGGTTCAGGGAAAGACTGATCAGAGGCCGGAGTGGCCTATTTGTTGATGATGTGACTTTGTCTCTCCAAGGTGATCAGCCTTGGAGATTCTGGAAGGTTGGTCTTCCTGCAGGTGGCTTGTGGACCCAAACAGCGAGGATTCTCGGCCTTCCCCTTGATTTTTTTTAGTTTGCAATCTTGACTTTCTCAGCCTTGATGCGCTGCCTTCCAGGACCTCTGGACAAATCAGAGACCTACCTTGGAGCCTTGCAGCCTCGTCCAATCAGATTCAAATTAATTCGTCCTTAATTAGTGTCTCTGTGGAAAAATCCTGCTTAAATCAGCAATAAAAAAAAATTTCACTCTTTTGCCTACCACAGAGCCCGTAAGTCTGTAACCATCCTTCTCCCCCACAAAAAATCTGCATAAATGAGATAACGTTTGAGGAAGCTGGCATTGTCTTACAGGGTGAAAGGGCTGAGGATAACTTTATGTCACCAGTTTACAGAAAGTTCAATATAAAAATAACTAATTGGAAAAACCCCAGCAACAAAACCAGTCACTTGATGTTCATTTGTCAGCAAAAATTCTAACTTATTAGTTTCATCGTGTCTCATTTCTTATTATTCTTGGAAACAAGGCAACTGCAGTAACCTTTCTATTTTGGAACTGAGCTATTGGTCAAACAGCTTCCCTGGTGAAAAACGCTATCTAAGAGCTAAGTGGTATTATTATTATTTCATTATTACCTTCTGAAAGCTACTTTAACGCTTTAATCATGAGGAAACCTATTTGCAATATAAAACTTTATAAGGTTTATATGTCCATATTAACTATTCTCCTCAGAACGGAGATAACTCAGCAAACCTGTTGTAGCTTCTAATGTTAAGAAAGATAGCAGCTGGTGTACTATTGCTGTTCAATCATACACACCTTTTTAGTAGTAGTATGCAAAACATGTAGAACTTCACACTGTTTCATACCTGGCACGGACTGTGCAAGTGGGTAATTGTGCATGCTTTTTTCTTCTGGTGTTGGTTTCTTTCTAAGGCCTGATCTAAAGCTTTGCAGGCATCGCTGTGTCAGTTAGGGGCATGATTTATTTTATTTATTTTGCTGAAATACCCAAAAGCCCTAGTGGAGATGAAATTATACTGGCAAAAAGGTCCTTTTTCTGGGATAGTTTTCATTCAGGGAACTCGTATAAGCTATACTGGCAGTAGGACTTTTATGTCGGTATAAACTGCATCTCTACTATGAGGGTTTGATGGTACAGCTATCCTGGTAAACCTTTTAAGTGTAGGCAAGGCCTAAGAATAAAATATGTGCGGTGCTGGACTGGACCAATCGTCCGTCATGCCTGGCATCCTGCCTCTGTTTTGCTCGGTATCTGCCATTTCAGAGAGAGGCTGAAAACCAAACCCAACCACCGGTGATCCAGGCAGCTCGTTGTGTGTGAGGGCAGAAAGCCCTTTCATGAAGTCTACCGCAATTAGCTGACCTGCTGAAACGTGAGATTTGATTACCTCTGCCTTAGCATCTTCTTCCCAGGCGACGGGGAGTGAGGAAAATCTTTGTCTGTCCTCAGCTCTCGGAAGAACTTCATTGCCGGAGGATGCCTGGAATGGAGAGTGTCTGAACTGGATCCATGTGTTCTAACTGTGACACAGCAGGGCTATATTGCAAACTTTTTTTCTTGTGCATCCCATTCCTTATCCTCCCGGTCTCCCCACCCTGTGTGTCCTCGCTTTAGTGCTGGTGCTTCCGCTTCTAACCTCCAGCGTTTTGATAACCAACAGGTTGGCGGGACGAAAACGGGAGTTGTGCGCTATGTGGGCGAGACAGATTTTGCCAAAGGAGAATGGTGTGGAGTGGAACTTGATGAACCTCTAGGGAAGAATGATGGGGCAGTCGCTGGTACAAGGTACTGTATACGCGCGCTGTGCTCCAACTTGGGGTCTGAAAGGGTGCCCGAAACCTACCAATATAATGTGAAGTCCAAAAGCCAGCTGCTTAGGGTGGTCAGAGGAGGCAGAGCTAGAACTTATGCTATGAATTTAAGCAGGGGACATCTAGACTGTATATTGGGGGTGGGGGGAATATTCTAATGGTGAGGTCTTTAGACTGGGAAGTAGTTTCCCCAGGGAAGTGGTGGAAGTCCCATTACTGGAATATTTTTAAACTTTTTAAAAGTTTTGAGAGAAAAGTTCGTTTATTTATTTTAAAGAAGAGATTCATTGTTGGGTTTTTCCCCACGTCTGGTTTCTGTGATTCTGTGACTTTATTAAGACCACTCCCCATCAGACGTTTCCGTCACAAATCCTTCACTTTCCCTAGTCTATGTATAATTCACCCTTTCCGCTTTCTACATAGTAAGGATGTGAGATGGTCTCAACATGCTGGGCATCTCTTCTTACTGGAGGCGAGGCTTTTAATGAGCCCTGAATGAACAGTTAATTAAGTTATTGCTCCAGGCTTGTAGTGATTCTTAAGCATGGCATCTGTTTGCAGACTGAACTTACAACCCCTGAATCCATTCAGTGCCTTCTACAGCAGTGTAGCTTTCAGCAGGCATCTGTCTGCTGGTGAAGGGCAAAGCTGTGAAGTCGACAAGATCAGTTTGGCATTGGGTAAATATCAGAAAGGCAGTGTGCTCTTCCAAACTATCTCCAACTTCTGGGTCTGCAAAACTGGGCAGGAGAGCTGATGAGACTTCTTGCTGCAAACTGTGACCCCAAACCTCAGATCGTGAGTTACCCTGAACTTTGGGGAAGTTTGGTTCTGGGTTCTGGAACTCATGCTTGACTCGTGTGGAAATACAGTCAGAACAGACTCTCCAGATGCTGCGGCAGGTCCATTAATGGGAATAGTGGTAGGGAACATTCTCAATCCTTTTAAACCTGATAAAGGTCAGGGTTTGGATCAATGTTTGGGTGGATTCTCACAGTATCTGAAATGGTTCATTGATCCCTGGTGTTCACTCTAATTTTTCAGGTGTTGTGCAGAGTCCTATAAATCTTAGCACAGCCCTGATCTCTCTATTTACAGCTATAAATAAGTGACCAAAGGCAGTCTGACTCTGGTTAGTAAATAAGGTACATGGGATAGCAACAGTACCATGAAACATTATTACTACGTCAGGGCTTCCTCAGGAAACCCAGCTATGGCAGAGGCAAGAGTGTAACTTCGAAAATAGCATGGAACTGCCAATTACTCAATGGGTCCCGGTTTCTGCAGCAGTGTCATTCATTTCTGCCAGCCTGGGTGCCTGCTGGCCACGAATCTTTATTTGAAACAGGAATGACTATGTATTGTCGCATGCCAGCATGAAGGCATCACAATAAATCAGCAAATGACTGGAAGCGGAGAGTCCCCGAGGTCCAGTCACGTCCCGAGGCGAAGGAGAGAAAGGAAGGGAGGGTGCTGTAGGATGAGCTATGGAATGAATCCAGCCAGGTTCCTGCTCTCCATCACTCAGTGATAAAGTACCTGCAGGTTTTATCTTCAGAATGCCCCAAAGTAACTTGTTTTCTGTGTGGACGTAGAAGGTAAGGGAGGGTGTATTGAGCGTAGGGCTCCGGGATTCTGCTACTGAGATCCAGTCCTGCTTCTGCCCCCACTTCCCATCCATTTGTAAGAGAAACTTGGTTCTGCATCCAGCTCCCTGCTCGTTGTCAGGTTAGCTTTGCTATGAGCAGGAATTCACCTTTCTGCTTTAAGGCCATGATGCTGGGATCAGAGGTGGTTCAGGTAAGTAGGAGGCCCCCTGCAAAGCCAGTCACCGAAGTCTCCTGGCTGCAAGACTTTCTCCTCCGTCACTGGCCCCAAACCCTGTGCCATGCTGTCAGGTGTGGGGGCAGTTCAGTCCCACAGTGGAGAATAGCGAACAGGAGTGAATTAGGGGGCTAATGGGTGGAGATTTCAGTTTAAACAGGAGTGGGGAGGGAGGGGGAAATCTGTACTGTGCCATAATATAGGGGCAGGTCTCATGGGACTCACGCGAACCACAGAGCTCTTAAGCAGTACAATGTAGCCCCCCGTACAGCACAGGCACATCAGCAGCAAACCTCCGGCTAATAGTTCAACCGGCACCCATGGAGTGGGTCTCCCTCCCTCCTGTGTTCTGACTGCAGGTTTGGCAGCGTTATCTCAACTGACCCTTGTAGCCTGAGCCGACCTTCTGCTTTTCTGCATGTCCCCAGTCCTCGATGTCTGTGTTGTTAAAGCCGCCGAAAGCTGTGAGCTGCTCGGCGAAGCCTTTGGAGGAAAGCCGTCTTGCTAAAACACACACCTTTCGTTTTGCTGCTGCACCACAAAGGATGCCCTGCGCCAGCACTCGGCACCTGCCACACTCCCTGTCCCCAACGCTGACCTGCTGTGGCGTCATTTTTAAAGCGCCAGGCTTGTCCTAGCAAAATCCCAAAGTCCTGGGACGCAAGCAAGGGGGGGCAGAACGCATGCTTTGGCTTTGCTAACTGTTGCCATCTAGTGACCAAGACACTCATCCTGGTTTGTTTTTCAGGCCATTGCTGGGTGAATTTCTATTGGTCTTTGGGTGGCATGTTAGCACGGCTGACGCTGATCATACATGTGATAGCACCATGCTGTTTTCTGGTGGTTTCTGGGCTAGGGTGACCAGATGTCCCGATTTTATAGGGACAGTCCCGATTTTTGGGTCTTTTTCTTATATAAGCTCCTATTACCCCCCCAGCCCCGTCCCAATTTTTCACACTTGCTCTCTGGTCACCCTATTCTGGGCTCGCTCTGGGTGTGTGCATTTCACGAGCGGTCTCCAAAGAAGGCCATTGTCCCTGGGGAGCTGGAGACAGTAGACTAGCAGGGGGTGGAGATGAAGGGGTGGTGCTGCCCTCTTTTGAAATCTGCCACTGCTGGAAGAGCAAAACGTGAGAGAATGGCGCTCTGGGGAGATGGGAAAAGCCAGTGGAAATGCCTGGGGGTGCGATTGGAGTGTGCAAAGGGTGCTTGGAGCCTGGCGCTTGGCTCTGGCTGCCTCCCCTGAGAGACAACGCTGTGGGGGCAGCTGTGAAACATTCCGAATGGGGTCATTCTGGCACAGCTCCAAGTGCTCCGGGGCTGTCCCAGGTGGCGTGACGGGGTGGTCCTGGCTAGCCAGGGGGAAGGGCAGGTCCGGTGCACCCGGGGGGAGCACAGAGTTTAAAGTTGTCGTCCCCTGGCGAAGGGCAGTGTCCGTCCCACCTGCTGCCCTGCACTGGGGACGAATGCCCACACTGACAACCCTGTCCTTGTAGCTGCGCAGGGCTGCTGGGCACGTACCCAGTATTCACAAAGCAATTCCCAGACGGAAGCTGCCGCACGAGGGCCCAGCATGTCGCGTGCAGCATTGTGGAAGGTCAGAGCATTGCTACATTGTGCCTGCCTCTCTTATGTCTTCCACCAGTCTTCGCACTGGTGTAACCCCATTGACCTGATGGGAACTGCTTGTGATTTATACTGGTATATCCGAGAGAAGAATCTGGCCCATTATTTTCCCACCCGGGAAGCAAACTGACAGTCCATTAATTCACCAGCGTTTGTATTTGTCTTTACCTGCTTCTCTTTTCCACCCTCGCTGTTCTGTGACCCTCAGTTACCTTTACTCACACTCTTATTTCCATTAGCAATTTTCATAGTCTCCATTTCCTCCCCTTTTTCCCGGTGCACTCTCTTTCATTAATGAGGACTAAGAGCCTACTAGTGCTGCCAGTGAAGGGAGTTACTCCTTAGGCTCGAGTGGCAGAGGTCTCTACTTTGGATGCCAAAGGCCCTAGGTTCAACTCACTTCATCTTTCTGTGCCTCAGTTTCCCCATCTGTAAAAGGAGGATTATGTTACTACCTCCTTGGGAAGTTCTCTGATATCTACTGGAGGAAAGTATTATGTAAGAGCTGGGTATTATTTTTACTAATGACCTGTGGAGAAAGACGGTGTTCCAGCTACAACCCCTTACAAGTCAGACATCCTTTAATAGTGACTTGCAGTCACTACCAGTCTGGACCAAAACCAAGCTAGCAGACTAGTGACGGTGGGCTCTGTATTCTGTTACCAGCTCTCCTATGCATAGCTTATTGTAACAGCGTGACGCCAAGCAGGGCTTTGGCTCGTTTGCAAAAGCCACGTTGCTTTTCCTCCTTGGTTCCCCAATCTGCAATGAGGTCAGCCCTAAGCAGTGATCTTCTCCAAGGTCCAGGGCCTGCATGGCAGCCAACCGAAGGGACAAGTGGTGGGTTGTTTTTTAAGTTGTTTTGAAAAGATTGGGCTTGAACAGATGCTTGCAAATGAATCATTTTCTCCTCTGGATGGAGAACAGGCTGTTCTGCAGCCTCCCATATACATAGAATCAGCCTGTGACAGACGCACATGCTTCTGCCAACGTTTACAAGCCAGTTCACAAACGGAAGGCGATTTTGGAACGGCTGTTCACATCTGGAGAAAGCCGACGTCGTGTGCCAGTAAAGCTAATACTTGGTTAATATTCGTATCCATATTGGTCTTGTGTATTAATTGTTAATCATTATTAATTAGTCACTATTTTATGTACCGGTGGGATAGGTTTTACTCCATCGTTTCCTGCCAGTGGTTCATTTTCAGCATTAGGAGACGACTCCCAAACCAGACTGTATCGTCTCCCTTGGCTACTACACTGACACCAAAGGATGTGACACGCAGAGGCTGTCTGGTTTCAATTGCTGAACTGCAGCAGGCCAGTGACAGCTTAACCATGGCTTGAGCAATGTGGGTTTCTGGCACCCATGTGCAGAATGGGGCCCCCAAGTGAGACGTGCCTTAATCTCTCGCCAGCATCAGGATCAGCCCATGGTCCTGCTTCTAGAGTTGAAGTAACTGCAGAAATGGGATCGCACCTGAACGTGCCCATCCCCTTGTCTCCATTGTGGCTCTTGTTTGGGTATTTTCCTTCTTCATTTATCTGCATCAAAATCATCTTCTTGTCTTCTCGTTTCCTTTATCTTCTTGCTCTGTCTTCCTTGCCTTCAGTAGCCCCACCTGGAGAGTCAGTGATGAGACAGAGACAGCCCATTCTGCATGGAGTGTTTTGTTTGGGAAGTGTAATAGGGCGGTTGCTTCCTGAGCCGTCCCCTCTGGCCAGAGTTCCTTAGCTGCAGCCTCCCTCCTGTTCTCCCTCTTCAGGGCCCCCTTACAGAGTCCCCACAGCCTTTCTTGTCAATCCTACCGTCCTCCACTCAGGGCTTCCTTCCTCCAGATGGACCTCTGCAATGCTGCCTCAACCTAACCCAAGCCAAAGAGCACCTGGAGGGATGCACATGTTCTCCTGGTGTTCATACATGTGGAATCTTGGCCCTGCCCTGGCGGACGGAGCTTAGAGTGCAGGAAGCTTTGGATTGTTTTGTGGAGTCATCTCAGTGGACGGAGTTGGGTTGGAAGCAGGGGGCAAGGGAAATTATTTTGTAGGCCCAGCCCAGCTCCCGTTTGCTGTGAACTGAAAGCAAGTAGTTTTCTGTTCTGGGTTTGGTTCAGTTCTGAATAGGCAGCTGTGAGGCATCTGGAGCAGGGGAAAGGAGAGCCAGTGCCTTTCCCTGAGGACAACGTGGGTAGAGGGGTTTTTTTTTGACACAGACATCTGGGATCCTGCACAAGTCACTCTGCTCCTGGGTATATACTGGAGGAAGGTCACCTCTATCTCATTCTTAAAAAAAAAAAAAAAGTCATATCTTCTCTCATCTTCTCCTCCTTCCGCCTCCCCATATGGCAAACCTCTGTCATCACCTAACAGTGCTGAACTGGAGTGATGTACCAGGCAGAAAAGAGAGCTGTGGATGGTGTCACTTAAACCAGCCCACATTAACCAAGTCCACAACACTCATCTTTCCTTTCCTCCTCTTTTTTTTTTTTTTTTAAGGGTACATTGTCTGGTTAAACAGCCTAGCAAAACCAAAATGTCTTTACCCGTGTGACTAATAAAACCCTACATTGCTCAGGGAGGATGATATAATTCAAAGGCCTCTTCTCATTTGCACTAAAGCTCCTTTCCATGCTCTGGAAGTGCAAAGGGGCCTTAGGGTGGGTGTGAATTTAATTTACTTTCACCTTACGGCTCCTTTGCACTGTCAAGTTGGTATAAAGGGGTCTCAGTAGAAATGAGAATTTGGCCCCCTCCTGTGGTTTGATGCTTGTTTCTTCCCCCCCCCCCCCCCCCCACTAAGTGTGCACAGTGAAATCCGACTGGTCAATGTCACTTTCATAGATTTCAAAGCCAGAAGGATAACAAAGGCCAGAGTCCTCCCCCATAATAATTCCTGTTTGAACTAGAATCATTACTGATTAACTTCAAGCTGTGTCAGGGTTACAAACACTCCAGGATGAATGTTTAAAACCAAAAACACAACAACTCTCCACCCTGTTTTCACCGACATTAAAAATATGATATAATATAGTACGTAGGTCGCTGCAAACGGGGTTTGTTTTGCTTTTGGATATATTCGCTCCTGTGAAAATTTTTTTTTTTTTATTTAAGCAAACCTATATTTTGGGCCTGTCCTTCCAGAGAGTGGGCCCTTAACTGCCTCCCCCAAAACACCGGAAAAGGGGAAGACTCTAACCTGTTCTACGCATGGAACCACATTAGGCCACAGTGTTGGCGAGGAGACTGTTAAATCCCCTGTAATTCCCGATTCATAGTCTCTGCATTATGATAATCTATTCTGACCTCCTGTATACACAGGCTGTAGAACATTTCCCAGAAGTTGGGTATCATTGGTTGGACTCCCAGCTCTGACTGGGTGTTGCCCAGTGTGGGGGTGGTATAAGTGGAGACAATACCCTTTCTGACATTCTCTCTTTCTCTTGCTCCAGGTATTTTCAGTGCCCCCCCAAATTTGGCCTCTTCGCTCCCATTCACAAGGTGATCCGGATTGGGTTCCCGTCCACCAGCCCTGCTAAAGCAAAGAAGAGCAAACGGATGGCCATGGGAGTGTCAGCCTTAACTCACAGCCCCAGTAGCTCGTCCATCAGCTCTGTCAGCTCCGTGGCCTCCTCTGTCGGTGGCAGACCCAGCCGGAGCGGATTGGTGAGAGAACCTTTTCATGCACTGTGCAATTTGGGCCTAGATCTCTTCTGCTCTGACTCCGCAAAGTGGTAGGGCTCATATTGAGCATGTTAGCAGGTGCATTGGTGCAGCTACTACTGCACAGTCAGCCAAGAAATGGGAAGTGTGGGGGAGACTGAGACTAATCTTAGCTTCCCTCCCCTCCTTGGATGGTGCTATAACAGATTCCCTGAGCTTTTGTGGTCATAAAAGATCCCATGACACTATTTGCAGAGGGAGGGGCACTGACTGTGATGTCATGTCCATGGATAATTGTATTCTGCCTTCCTAAAATGCCATCTAGATTGCGATATTTTTCATTTCCGGTCCTGAATGGTTGCATAGCATTGCCTTGTAGTATTTAACAGCTGCTTCCTTCCAACTTCAGAGGTGGCCACATTTTGTTGTTGTGGGAAAGAATTCCTATGAATTGTGTGCATAATGCTTTGGGGTTCCCTGGAGAAGACCGGCACTATGGGAATGCAAAATATTATTAATAAAAGCTCTAGCTATAGAATATACAGGGCGATCAATGTTGACCACTATCATCTGGGCTGAAGCAGAGAAGGACAAACAAGTGTCCGCCACGGGGAGTGGATCCAACTTTCCCCGACTTGCTGTCCAGTGGAGAACAGCCCTGGCAGCTGAGCTCATTTCGTTTGGGAGTTTCTTCGGCGGCTGTCATAAATAAAACGTATTTGGGAAGAGAGAGCAGTTGTTCTTTAAAAGTTCAAATTGTGATCTTCACAGCACCCATCACACCCCTTTAGCCCTGTTCCTGGAGAACTCCCTTCTCATCACTGCCCAGAAGAGCTATCCAGTCCGAGGGAGCTGATCTGCAATCTCATTCTGACTAGGAACCTCACCCACACCCCTTCCAACTAGGCCATGAACTCCCAGCTCCAGAGAGCGCAGCATCTGGGGGCTACTGGATCAGTGGATTGAGCTGCACTCTAGCTCCAAAGGGGCACTGTGTGTGTGCAATCGCTCTGTCTGTCTGGTGAACGCTGCTTGCATGGCGGGGAGAGCACAGCGACAGACCCTTCACAGCTTAACTCTTCTTTCTAGCTGACGGAAACCTCCTCTCGCTATGCCCGGAAGATCTCCGGGACTACCGCCCTGCAGGAGGCACTGAAGGAAAAGCAGCAGCACATTGAGCAGCTGCTGGCAGAGCGAGATCTGGAGAGAGCGGAGGTTGCCAAGGCCACCAGCCACATCTGTGAGGTGGAGAAGGAAATTGCCATCCTGAAGGCCCAACATGAGCAGGTAAAGCATGTGGCAAAGGCAGGGCCAAAAACCCTTGCACTATCTCAGACCTTCCCTGCTTCGGGCTCCACCCTTAGCTTTAAGCTCGTCTGCCGGCAGTTGTTCAGGCCAATTGCATATCTGCAGCTCAGCCCACGAAATTGAAGCCCCTACAATTTTGCCATTAGACAGAATCTGGATTTGGTGCCGGTGGAAAACATTAATGTAATCGCCTTTCATGCTGATGTAACTGTGTCCATTCCAGGAGGTTTGACTGCGTTACCTACATTGGTGTCTAGATTCTTGGTCCCAGCTTAGGCCATTTTGTGTTGCCTTCGCGCACAAAGCAGCCAGACAGCTGACTAAGTGGTGCAACCCGGGGTTCTCCCATCACTGATTCTTGCTGCCTGCTCTGCTGTCTCCACAGTCAGGGTGGGAAGCATGGAGAGACAGAGCACATAGTATTCCTGTAAGCGTCTCTCTAATCAATAATGCCTGATCAAGAGTGGTGAAGACTGGAGTGGCAGGAGCCCATCTGCTGGTGAAAGGGGAATTCGTTCTCCTTGGGCCATTCGCTCCATGGTCTCGCTGCTGAGGCTGCCAATCAGGGATTGTATTCCCGTGATTCTTGCAGTGCCACCAGGTACTGAACTAAATGAATAGCCCCCAGTTGTGAGTAACGTTTGGTCACTACTAGCACTGGGCGAAGAGTCAGGAAAATTGTGCAAGGACATTTGCACAAAAGTTAAACATGTTCACTCCCCTTTTTTCACAAGCATTTGTGCATATGGTATTTTGTTCACATTAAATTGTATGTGCTGGAAGTGCATAAACTCTTATTCCCAGGTGGACAGGAGTGTTTACTCTAGTATGGGCACTGGCTATTCAGATTTATAAAACTTCCATTGTCCACTCAGGAAGCAGAAACAATACCACGTGCCATAGCTGTCCAACCACATGCCAGTCAGACAGCCCCCAGAGCTTGAAAACTGTTTGCATAAAGCGTTCATCAAACAATTGCCAGTAACAAATTGATTCATAAAAATCAGTCTCTTCGTAGCTAGCTAAGGAGCAGAAAAAAGGGCTAAAACTGTCAGATAAGTTGTTGACTCAGCTCTAGTTACTGCTAGCCTGGGCTCTGTTTAATTTGGTGACCTAGGGCCAGATTTTCAAAAGCGTTCTGGGCCAGGTCTCACGTGCTCAGAATGGCTAGCTGGAGTCGGGTTTTCAAAAGGGCACAGTACCCAACAGACTCCTAGGTGCTGAGCTCATTGGAAAATCTGGTCCCTAGAGATGAAAGCCTCCATACACATCATTTACTAACCCCTGAGCTATCCAGTTCAGTCCCCTGTTAAGCTTTTAACAACTGTGTATTGCGAATGTAACTGGCTGGCTGTGGGGTGGGATTTCCTTTTGTTACAGTATGTCACAGAGGCGGAGGCGAATCTCCAGCGAGCACGGACCCTGGTAGACGGGGTGCAGAAGGAAAAGTTGGAGCTGCTGAACCAACTGGAAGAGGAGAAAAGGTAACGTAGTAAAGGGGGAATGGGGTGGGAATAGGAAATGTGTAAAAACAGCAGAGGTAATATAGCAACATGGTAAGTTGGAGGGAGACAGGCCAGGGTATTTCATTGGTGCATTTTCCTTGCCTTTGATGATGATGCCTAGCTCTTACATCGTGCTTTTTAAAATGTATCCTGGACTCCGGGAGCTGCTTGGCTCCCTGATTTTAATGCATGTCAAATGCGCTGGGCTTTAGCTGGCATTGGCGTTGTTGTTTGTGTGGGCAGCGAGTAGGTGGTGTGAAGACCTGGGAAACAGATGAACAATGTGAGTGCAGTAGATGGCAATGGAAATTCGTCGTGCCCAGCTGACTGTAGTTAACATATCAAACCATTCAGGCCTTCTGTCCAAAGAGGATTATCCAGTAAGGTGGCTGAAGTGCTACGGTTAATCACAATAGAAAGGTAGTGTTTGGTAGGCTAGTTCCTCGCTCCTTTGCCTGGCAGTGTTTAGAGGGGACTTGAAATGGGACCATTACTTGTATCCCCTGTCGCGTCCAAAACACCAGTGCTATTTCTCTTCCTGTGTTACGTGTACGCCGCCAAATCAGCTCAACTGCCGCTTTGAATGTAAAGAAATCTGAAGAGGAAAGTAATCTATGAACATCGAACTGGAAGGGCCCGGCTAGGTCACTGAGTCCAGTCCCTGGCTATCGCAGTCATCCTGTCCTACAATCCCATTCATAAATGTATCAAGCTCCATTTTTAAATGGATTGGGTTGTTTCCGCACTACTCCTGTTGGGAGGCTGTTCCCGAGCCTCACTCATATGATGGGTACAAACCTCCTCCTAATTCCCAGCCTCCATTTATTGCTGGCCAGTCTCTTTCCTGGACAGATAAAGATATGGGACACTTCGCACTTAGGAGAATGATCGTTCTGGTTCTCGTCCAAAAAGACTAGTGTGATTAGAACCACTTTGTTGCTGTTTAATATAGGTGGTACTTAGGACAAAACACGCTATCAGCCGCCACTCACAGCCATCAGCTCTGAAGTGCTGACATTCCCAAGATTACATTATTCAATATTCAGCAGGACACCGGCACTTCAAAGAACATTTGCCGGGTTCACTGGCTGGACTCAGGGTGCATGGAAAGCCGCAGCAAATGGATTATTAACAATACTACACAAAAGGGCACCGCTCTCCCACCAGCCGGTGAAGTTAGTCAGAGCGCTGCTGCCGCCAGAGCCCTTACACGGGCAGGGGATGGGTGTCAGAGGTATTAGCCTGAAGGAAAAAAGCATTTGAGGAGACATTTGGTCCACCAGGTACACCTCTACCCCTATATAACGCGACCTGATATAACACGAATTCAGATATAACGCAGTAAAGCAGCGCTCCGGGGTGGGGCGGGGCTGCGCGCTCCGGCGGATCAAAGCAAGTTCGATATAATGCGGTTTCACCTATAACGCAGTAAGATTTTTTTTGGCTCCCGAGGACAGCGTTATATCGGGGTAGAGGTGTCTCTTTGGTGGAAGAGGGACCAATTGAGGGTGTGCTGTCTGAGACCCAGTAAACCTAACAGAACAGTGCACCCCAGTGTAATGAGACTATCCAGTTGAGTGCTGGGTGGACCATGTCTTATTTTCAGTAGGTCAGTATTGGGAACGGGGTGTCTTCCTCTAGATGGCTGGTGATGATGAGGCTGTCCATGGTACTGCACCGAGATGATGTGCTAAGGAGTGCACAGACAGGTTTCCTTGCAGAGTTATGTGGAAACGGCAAATCTTCTGGTGCTGCAGGGTCCTGTCAGTGTCTGAGAATTAGCAGCATGTGACTTCTAGTTCCTTGAGCTTGGCAAGAGACAAGGGGTAAGACTCTGCCAATATTTCTAATAGCCACTCGATACTGCAGGGCTTTGAGAGCCGTCTACTGCAGGGGCGACCTGAGCTGGCTGTCCCCTTGGAAGCACAGAGGGATACAGCAGGATGCTGTATTATGTTGCCAGCATCTTTGTCTTCTCCGGTGTGTGTTTGGAGACAAACCATTACAAGCTGAAGCCTTTGGGGGCAGCGAGGCTGGATTACCCTCGCAGAGAGAGAACAGCCGAAAGGAGAATGAATCACAAATCGCTTCTGGATTGTGCCCTGACAGTGACCATAGTCATTTATGGCACTGAGTGTGCTCCAACTGATGCTTTAAGGTGGTGGGATTGAAGCATTTTTAAACAAATCGGGCAGTCAGCAAAACCTTCCTCTGAAATATCAGGGTTAACATATTTTTTGCAAAAAAACAACAAGGAGTCCGGTGGCATCTTAAAGACTAACAGATTTATTTGGGCATAAGCATCTGAAGAAGTGAGGTTTTTTTACCCACGAAAGCTTATGCCCAAATAAATCTGTTAGTCTTTAAGGTGCCACCGGACTCCTTGTTGTTTTTGTGGATACAGACTAACATGGCTACTCCCGATACTTGACATATTTTTGGCATTTTTCTTATTCTGTCATCAGAGAGGAAAGAGAAACACTCCCAGCCTGGGGCTCATCCCAGTCCTAGAACTCTAGTTATGGGATCCCACCTTCCACAAAGACATTTCCTGCCCCACCCTGCTTTGCAAGGTGATAATCTTAAAGGCATCTGTGGGAAGGGAGGGGAAAGCTGAGTTGGAGTTAAACCTTTGTTTACCAAGCACCAGGTACTGTCCCTGTCCCTGTGCCCTGTCACATGTGCTTTCCCCCAAATCTCAGATCCTTCAGACAGCAACTTCCGTGTACATGTGCTAGCATATGAGACTTGTGTTGCTGAGACTGCGCTGAGAAAGAAGGTCTGCTCTAGTTGGCCAAATGATCCAAGGACTCCATTTACAAAAAGCCTCCTGCTGATGGTGGGAGTATAAAGATGTTTCCCTGGGCTGTGTGTTTGGTAGTTAAAAGGAAAATAGTGACTCACTCTCCCTTTTTATTTGAAAGATGTCCCGTCTGAAGATGTTCCTTCATGCACAGGACTCCCACTCTTTCCCAGCTCCCTTTCCACGCTACAAGAAGCAAGAGATTGTTTAACCTGAGACAGCTGAGTTCTTGCCTAAGCAAGAACAGATGCCTTCTCTAATTAGAAGAGGTTTAGACAAGGAAGCTTGTTTTTAAAGTTTGATATATACAGACAGAGCTATTTTTATCCAGGACGGAGAATCACCGAGTCCTTACATCTGGTTCCCACGGCAACATCCACTGCACAAGTTTATTATTTAAAAAAAATCTGATAAAAGAACAAAGAAGGTTGAATTTACCAAGAAGATTGAATTGCAATTGTATCATTAGTGGGTTTTATTTTTGTAGTGGAGTTGTGTGTGTGTGTGTGTGTGTGTGTGTGTGTGTGTGAGAGAGAGAGAGAGAGAGAGATGGATGCCTGTACAGCATTAGTCTCTTGTGAAGATTTTTTTCTGCCAGCCTGGTTCATCATTCCCACAACATGGGGACGTGAAAACTGCCCATAGTCACCCTTGAAGGGAAAAGCCCTGATTGTCTGTGAATATCCAGCAATGAACCCTTCGGCCCTTGGCACTGCCGTTTCCCAATGCTTGCCTGCGAAGTGAATAGCTGGCAGAGAAACCTTGCTCAGTCCTATGATGCCAATGGATTAAAGTCAAAGCCAACTCCTCCAGTATCTCCAGTATCCATATGGAGCTGTACAGCAGCCATGCTCACTGGAGGAGTGTGGTACGGCACATTGCAGAAAGAGGAGTATCTGCTTTGCATTAATTATGCTAATTAACTGCCTTCCACAGGGAGTGCTTAGCTTCTGCTGAGTTGTTTGCGTATATGATTTATCCATATCCCACTCCTCTTGTCCTTTTGTTTTGCAGGGGCCTTTTGTGGCAGCTACTTAGTGATACAATTTTAATCCTGGCATTACTGATTTTGGCTTTTCTCCCCTCACCCCCACAGGAAAGTGGAGGACTTGCAGTTCCGAGTGGAGGAAGAATCCATTACCAAGGGAGATCTGGAGGTAATTTGCAGCACACTCACTGTAATGTATTGTCTGCAATTGCATTTGAAACTTTCCTTTAACAATTTCTGCTGCCTTTTGCCCAGCTCTGTGACCAGGATGTGTTAGTAATTGCTGTGTAGGGCTGATTCATTACTTATTACAGCAAGGCATTGATAGTGAATTGTGAAAAATTTCCCACAAGGTGTTAGCTGGTCATTGTTATTCCTAGAAATCCACTTAGGATTAACCATGACCGGCTTGCATGGTTTTTAAACCTGACTTTGTCCTAAGTCATATTAAACGTCCAGGTTAATTAAATTGTGTGTGTTAATGCATTCTAACATACCTTTTCCCACTGCTCAACCACTGTCCCTGGCCTGTCTCTCATTACTAGCAGCTTCAGTAAGGTATATGATCCATATCCAGTGGGAGAGCAGCTGTATCCCAGCTGTATCTGGGTACAACACCACACATTCCGATCTAAGCCTTCATCCTCCAGGACTTTTCGGTGGAGTCCTCCTCTCACAAGCACAGGCAGTTGTGGTTTGACGTTGCAGTGCCCTTTTTTGGAAGGCGTAGGGGTTTTTCTGCACAACGGCACTGCAGCCAGCTTTGTACAAAAGCGATCAGCATTGGGAGATGACCTTCTGTCTCAGGTTCCAGGTCAGGCAAGGTTTCCCTTGCAGGAGGAGTAAGGAAGAGTGATCTTTCAAAAAGGCAAGGTTCCTTTGCGGAAAGGCAAAGCAGTGTCCAAAATCTCCCCTTCCCCTTTCCCTGGGCTCTAGCATTAGGCTAGTTAAGTCAGCCAGGCATGTCGAGGGAGCTGCTTCAGCAATCAGTAGTTGAGCAGTAAATCGATACGAGGCCAGAACCTGGCTGAGAAGGCAAAGCCTTGAACGAGGCGGCTCTTGGGGTGCGGTGTGTTTTTCTGGACATTAGAGACACAGAATTGCTTTGACCACCCTTAAGAATAAATCTCTGCTTTTTATTGGGAGGAGATGGCAGAGCAGCAGAATGGGGGATTGGAAAGGTGCAGATGGATCCTGTGAGGAGAGCTTCGCCAAAGCTTTTCTAGTGCAGTGAGCCGTGCCTACAGAACTCCTCAGCTCTGGGTTTAAAACCAGCCAGGGGATAATTGCAATGGAACAGGGGTGTGTTTCATTTTCACAGGATGACAGGCTGTCCAGGGCCAAGTGCCTCAGTGATATTCGGTTCCTGGACATTATTACATGATGTGCGGCTGGGTTATTCTGCAGATGAAGCAATTGCGAGTAAGAAAAATAAAACCAAGCTTGCTGGTTGTACCGGATGTGGTTTTTATCTTTTACACACACATACCCCTGTGTGGAGCTCCTTATCAGTGTCGAGCTTCTCCATCTGTGCCTGGCGGAAATCACCTCTCGGAGCAACAGGGTAATTCATTCGCTACGGTTTACTCAGTCTTTGGTCTCTCTCCTGAGAGTGACCCCTTGGGATGGGTCTTCACTGTGGAGTTAACTTGGGATCTTACTCAAGTGTTGCTCCTAACCTTCCACCCCATCATTTACACATCAGACCCTCTCACCCAAGTTTAGTGCTGTCAGCCCAGGCTAGCTGGGCGATAGGCTACAGTCCGAATGAGGTTTTCACTCAGGCTGGTAACCCACCCTCTTTGCAGTGAGGACGCAAACTAAACCACTCAAGTGCTATTCATCTACCACTGCCTTCCCACAAGTCCCCTGTGTGCCCAGAAGGACAGATGGGTTCTCCCACAATTCACTGGGACAGAATCAGGGAGTGGCACAAAGAACTGTGGGATGTGCCCCCAGAAGTCCTAGTGACGTGTGGTGTGCAGTGCCAGTGAGGGCAAAGGCTTTGCAGTGGGGCTGCTCGCACCCGAACTAAGAGGTGCTGATCATCTGAGTTAAGAACTCTGCAGTGAAGACAGACCCTAAGGGATTGAATGTGATGGTGGTTGAGATTTTCAAAAGCACCTAAATGACTTAAACAAAAGCCCCATTGAAAGTCAAAAGGACTTGTGCTCCTTGATCACTGTAGGGGCTTTTGAACATTCTAGCCAGAGGGCCTTTTTGTTCGGTGAACATGTGTTCCCTAGTGAAACACACTAGCTCGTTTCATGTAAAGCCACCCTAGAGCCATCCAGTGGTTACTACTTTCAGTCATTACCATCTTTGTTCAGCTTTGAACTAGCCAACTGGGGTATCTGCGGGGCTCAGATTCACAGGGCTGTTGAATTCCAATGTAAATGTTCAGGCTGGGGCTGCAGCCCAAGCTCTGGGATCCTCCCACCTTGCAGGGTCCTAGAGTCCAGGCTCCAGCCCCAGCCTGAATGTCTACACTGCGGTTAAACAGCCCCTTAGCTCTAGCCTGCGAGCCCAGGTCAGCTGGCATGGGCCAGCCTCGATTTTTTCAATGTCAGTGTAGACACAGCCCTAGAGGCAAAAAGCCCAGTAACCCATTGTCAGTTGCCCCACCCCAACCTTCCTACATCCTTTGCCCTGCTGACTGTCTTTGGGGAGCTGTGATTGCAACATTTGTCCTTCAGGAAGTTCCAGCTTTCATTCTTCATTAAAAGGTCGTTTCCAGGTCCTTCCACATTGTACAATCAAGCAACGGGAGACTCTAAGGTTGCAAAATGCCATTACCTCCCCACAGAGCCCAAGAGCATCATCTTAATGGTGTCTTGGTTCTCTGGGGTTGGGGAGGAAGTAACTTGAAATTACTCCTGAACTCAGAGTCTGTGCTGCCCAAGCAGGCAGAAGCACTAGACTCAGTGCCTATGGGGTGAACATAACAGCAGTGTTAGGTTTTTAAATAGAGCCCGACCCACCCCAAATGCTGAGACACTCAGTGATGTAGACGTCGCCGATGGCGTCTGCGTAGGTCATTTTATAAAACAGAGTGGTGTGCTCGCAGCCAGCCACGTTCTACACAGAGGTGACCTTCCAGCGCATCCCTTTGTGAGAGGATTGCTGCATCCACATACTGCAAACAAGCAAGCATGGCACTTTCCTGAACATTCATTCAACTGGACGATCCAGTGACTGGGCTTTTAGTCAAGGATGTGAGCAAGATCAGCTGCTTTATTTGGGCAGGAGGGGCCTAGCACAACAAGTGCTTTATCAAGGAGGGTGACAAGACCAAGGGCAGCTCTGTGCAGGTTAGAGATGTTCTTTTGGCCACCTGTAGTCTGTGACTGCAATTTTAGCAGCTATAAAAGCTGCAGGGCTGTCTAGCTAGATCTCATTTATACTGGGAGGACAGGGACCTGCACAACAATTTGATTAGATTTTCTCCATTTATATGCTTCTGTAGTGATCCTAGGGATGAGAAGGCTGATGTCGTCATAAGCAATAAACAATAGCAAGTACAGTGTGTGTAGAGTATAGGAATACTATAAATCAGATTGTCATACGGTGCATGCCAGTATCCCCACTGAAGAATCATAGAATAATAGGATTGGAAGGGACCTCGAGAGGTCATCTAGTCCAGTCTCCTGCACTCATGGCAGGACAAAGTGTTATCCAGACCATCCCTGACAGATGTTTGTCTAACCTGCTCTTAAAAATCTCCAATGATAGAGATTCCACAACCTCCCTGAGCAATTTATTCCAGTGCTTAATGACCCTGACACGTAGAAAGTTTTTCCTAATGTCCAACCTAAGCCACTCTTGCTGCAATTTAAGCCCATTGCCTCTTGTCCTATCCTCAGTGATTAAGGACCTCTTCCTTGTAACACCCTTTTATGTACTTGAAAACTGTTATCATGCCCCTCTCAGTCTTCTCTTCTCCAGACTAAACAAACCCAATTTTTTCAATCTTCCCTCATAGGTCATGTTTTCTAGACTTTTAATCATTTTTGAAGAGAAGAAAGATGCTCTCAATTGATCATCTTCCCATTTTGTTCCTCCAGAACTCTAACCCAGTGTATTTCAGTGGAGTCTAGAGGGCTCTGCCCAAATATTAGTAGGCATAAAGACAGGAGCGAGCCACAAAGCTCATGTTCAGATTTGGAATTCTCTAAAATTTGGAGATATTTGGATCTGTGATTTGAGTTCCCTGATGGATGTAGGGAGGAGCTGTGAAGCTTGGCTCAAAACATCTCACAGAACACAGTGTGACCTAGCTCCAGGCCCATCTCTAGGCAGCATTATGTTGCTATAGCCTTTAGCCTTTAGAAAATGGGAGGCAAATGCAAGAAAGAGCTAAAGCCTATTTATAATAGATGATCTTGTAATAGGAAACCTTAAAATCCTTAGGAGACACTGTTGCGATCATCTGCTGGAATTCATGAGATACCTCATGCATTTTAGTGAGAAATTAGCTATTTGTATAGTTCATAATGTGTGGGTAGTAATTAGGGTTAAAATTGGACCTGAGCCATAAAGTTTGGATCTGAATTCCCTCAAATTTTGGGGCTGAGTGGATCTCAGAATTTGGTCTGGTCTAATTAGGGCTGGATGAAAGAGTTTGTATAAAGTAAAAGATGATATGTGAGTTCATCTTCATGTTGAAAAAAAACATATTTGAGGTCTGGAAACATTCATTTAACTTCTCCTCTGTTTTTCATTTCCGTATGCCTCTGGTCTTCCAGGGTTTTGGCTAACAGCAGGATGACTGGAATACTAAGGGAAGCTGCTCTGTGGCATTTCTAGTTGAACCAGAAACAGAAGTATCAGTGTCAGGTATCTTGCGAGATTCCTGGATTAGTTTTGAAATGGATCAGTAAAAGATCCCGCCTTTGGAGCTCTTATACCTGACCCCTTGGAGAACAAAAGTGGGTGGGAAATTACTACCATTAAAAAGATTCTGAACTGCTAGTTGAGATAATTTTGTGAGTCCATATAGCTGAAGGTTCAGTCAAAGACTAGCTGTTATTGTTGTAAATGCGTACTAAAGCCATTGAAGTTAATGGAATAATTCAGGATTAACGGCACTGTAAGTGAAATCAGAACCTGGTCCAGCTCTTAGGAAGAGCATCTTTGAGCTATGTGGAGATTTGGGGGGAAAAGCCAGTCAACGTTTCTCCCTTTTCCTTTACAAATATCCAGCTCATGTCTGTGCTTCAACTAAGGTTCTTTGGCAAGCCTGACAATGCTTGGAGACCTCTTTTAAGAGACGTTGTTTGTCTTCTCCACCTGGGGTCAAATAGGACTGATAAAACTTGAAGTGTCCTGAATATACCCCCCACAGCACACCTTTCACAATCGATTGGTCCTACACATGCCTATTACAACCTGTGGAAAACCTCATCCAGTGCATTGAATGCCCCAGTAAACTAGACAATTACTAGTCTTGAATGAACTCACACAGAAAAGTAATAAGACAAAAACACCCTATCACCTGGGGGTGAACAGTCACTCCATAGCTGACCTCTCAGGCCTCGTCCTTAAGAGAAACCTGCACAACACCTTCAAAAGATGAGCCTACGAGCTTAAATTCATAACTCTGCTAGACACCAAAAATCATGGACTGAACAGAGACACTGGTTTCATGTCTCATTACAATAATCTGTAACCCACTAGCTCTCATCTGTCCTCTGACTGCAGAGGCTCTAATTGCCTGCTTCATTTTGAACGGTTTCTTGCAACGTGTTAACTCCTTATACTTAATAATTGGTTCCACCTTGTATTTAGCTGTGACACTCTGATTACCTTTCCCAGACCTGAAGAAGCGCTCTGTGGAGCTGGAAAGCTTGTCTCTTTCACCAGCAGAAGTTGGTCCAAATAAAGATATTACCTGATCCACCTTTGTCTTTCTCATATCCTGGGGCCAACATGGCTATGATAATATTGCATGTACCTGGCAGTCTTGATTTTCACCATATTTGATCTGATATTTAATAATATTTTCCAGACTTTAAAAGAAAATACAGGTTGGTGCAAACGTAAACTTCCTCCATTCACAGAAAAGGAGCCAAAGCTCATTCATTCTTTTCCATCTCAGATCAGGTTGTAAAGAAAAAAAAATGCGAATGAATTCAGGCTTGGGAATGGGGGGAGGAAATAATGAAGTGGCAAGTGAAGGACAGAAAATTGCCTAGAACAACTTAAGTAACCTTATAGTCCTTGTCACGCTGTGGTCTTGGTGGATCAACTTTGTATTCAGTAGAAAATAGTTTTGAAAGTTAAAAATGTGAAAGCCGAAGTTTGCCTGTTGATTTTCCGCCAACCCTTCTTCACAGGGAATTTACATGATATCGGTGACCGACACTGATGTGCTTAAATAATAATTTTGCTACCGATAGAGGAGTGTTATCTAGTTGTTAGGGCAAGGGACATTGAGTCAAGACTTCTGGGTTCTAATCCTGGCTCACCCACTGAACAGTCTTCCGAGGGAAACAGTGGGGGCGAAAGACCTCTCTGGCTTTAAGATTAAGCTTGATAAGTTTATGGAGGGGATGTTTTGATGGGATAACGTGAGTTTAGTCAATAGGTCAATATCGTGCCATCGCTGGTAATTAGTAACAATGGTCAATGATGGGATATTAAAAGTTACTACAGAGAACTTTTTTCCGGAGGGTCTGGCTGGAGAATCTTGCCCGCATGCTCGGGGTTCAGCTGATCGCCATATTTGGGGTCGGGAAGGAATTTTCCTCCAGGGTAGATTGGCAGAGGCCCTGGAGATTTTTCGCCTTCCTCCGCAGCATGGGGCAGGGGTCGCTTGCTGGAGGATTCTCTGAGACTTGAAGTCTTTAAATCATGATTTGGGGACTTCAACAGCTGAGTCAAGGGAGAGAATTATTCCAGGAGTGGGTGGGTCAGCTTTTGTGGCCTGCATCATGCGGGAGGTCAGACTAGATGATCATAATGGTCCCTTCTGACCTTAAAGTCTATGAGTCTATGAGAACTTGGGCAAATAACTTAACCTCTCTGTGCCTCAGTTTACCCAAGTAAACTGAGACACGGGGGAGGGGAGGGGTTGTGAGACTCAAAATTTGAAAATCACTTTGAAATCCTTAGCTATAGATGCTGTACAAATGCAAAGCATTCAGTTATACAATTGTTTTCTACTTAAATTTCCTCCATTGCTTTACATGAGGTATATTTTCTGGTATTGTCACTACGCCGTGTACGGCTTGTCGTCAACTACGTCATAGTTCAAACTCTCTCTTTCTTGCAAAAGGCGAATGAGAGTCCCGGTAATTTTCTGTGCACTGCAGTGTGCAACTCTGCCAGTAGGCAGCCTCCAACTGCCCACATTGCTAAGAGTGAGCACAAGGCCTACAGTGAATGGTCTTGAATTGGTGCATAGACCTTGTACGGATGCGCACTGCGCTGGGGTGGATTTCTTCTGTTCCGAAGTGTTCTCACTATGGCCCCCATTCAGGAAAGCACATAAGCACCTGCTTAAGTCTCATCCCCTTTAGTGGGACTTAAGCCCCCTTCGTGAATAGGGATGCTTTGCTAAAATGGGCCCTATAAGAGGAGTCCACTGTGTCTTAAATAGCCACCCTGAGGACCATGTAAAATCCCTTAGTAACCTATTTCTGTTTGGATGAATTTTCCTGCCTGTTCAGACGTTTATTCTCCTCCCGTTGTGAACTGCCTTTCCTTGTGTTGTACATGGAACATGATGTTGCAGCCTTTTCTCTCTGTTTTCTGCTCTCTCCCCTGTTGTCGTTGTTGTTTTTTCTTCCCTATGTGTGACCAGACTCAGACGCAGTTGGAGCATGCCCGAATACGGGAGCTCGAGCAGAGCCTGCTGTTTGAGAAGGCACAGGCTGAAAAACTCCTCAGAGAATTAGAGGACACCAGGGTAATCCCAACCCCACTTGCCCTGCCTGCAAACCAGTGTGCTTGTCAGCTGCATTGATGCCAACAATGCCTTGTTTTGGATTTTGTTGTTTGGTTTGAGTTTGGGCATCCATGGTTTTTGTTTTGTTGTTTACTTTATTTGCACTCCCTTTCTGGAAATAGTAGCACCATTTGATTTTGCCTTTGCTTCTTGTGTGGTGACTCATTTCTCTGACTTGAGTTTGCTTCTCAACCCCATGACGCCATTTGACATGAGCTCTTCACAACTCACCATTCGATTAACACCACCAAATAAATAACAACAATTAAACCTTGCACGGTTCATTTTGCTTCCGGAGGTCCTTTTGAGCTACAGTAGGAAATAACAGTGTGACAATCAATGTTGCAAATGTCCTTCCTCCTATTGTGGGTGCTGTAATTTGAGATCGAAGATAAGGGTGAAGAGTCTGAATGGAACTGCTCCAAAGTCTTAGACTACAGGTCTGGTCACTTGGGTTAGTTAGGCTGTTGCAGTGAATGCAAGAAAGGCTGTCAAGAGGAGCAATACATCAGGGCTTTAAGGAGCCTTGTTCGGGGCGGGTGAGGAAAAGGTTTTTCATGAAGGTGTGACGTGGTGGGGAGAGCAGTTGATTTTAAAAAAGACAAGCAGACTGTCAGGACTGTGATGTGGTCAGAGCAGGGCCTAGTGGTCAGAGCCAGAGTCCAAGCCAGGGGTCAGAGCTGGGATCAGGAACCAAGCCAGAGGTCAGAGGAGGAATCAGAAATGGGGGATCAAGCATAAGTCCGATCCAGTGCAGCTGCCAGTCAGGAGATCTCCCAGTTACTCAAACAACTTCCCTGTGCCGCCTTCTGGCTTAAATAGTATGGTTGGGCCAATCGGTGGGGCTGATCATCATCTCCAGTCATGATCCTCATGGGTGGGGCCTCCGGGAGAAGTCAGAGTTCTTCTAGTCCCTCACGTCCAGGAGTTTGGGGGGGGGCTGCCTAGTAGCGGCCAGGGTGTGAGGGCTGCGTGGGAGCCTGAGGGCCCTTACATTAACTTGTCTGTTGTGAATCTGTAGAGATCACCCAAAAGGCCAGGCTGGAGTCTTCCAAACTGGTGAAAGGGATTTGAGCACCCAATTTCCATTAAAAATGAGCGGGAGTCAGGCATCCAGATCCCTTAGGCAGCTTTGAAAAATGTCAGAATGGATCGGTTCTGTTTCGGTGCTAAAGGAGTAAATGTTGTAGATCTGCTTGTTTGTTTGTTTTTACATTTCCTCTTATCAGGTCTGTTGTTCTGTACCCAAAGGTGCCCACGCAACCCAAGACCTCCACGTGATCAGCAGTCAACTCAGGCCAGAAAGATTAAACTCAGAAAGCTAAGAAGCTACTCAAAAACCTGCCATGCAGTGTAACCCATGGCCGGCAGTTTATTATCTTACATCTTCTAGCATTCAACCTTATTTTTACTTTGCTAATAAATTCTAACCAGACTCCATGTGTAAAATTCCTTTTCCTTTTACACCAGGGTAAACCATAAAGTCGTGAAGGTGCCAGAGGCTCTGAAGAGCTGAGCAATAAAAGGAACCGTTCATGATGTGTACAATCCTGATTTTAATATCTACTGTATTCCTGAGTGTACAGTAGCATTTTCTATGCATCACCTGGCAAGCAGCCCCGTTCAGAAATAGGATGAGATTTCAGGACATTATTTTGAATAAACCCCTGTAACCTTTTAGTAGCTAATATTACGGCAGTTGTTTCAAAGAGACCTGTTGTTTCTGACGCAGACCAACGGTTCAAATTGGACGCATGCATTAAAAATCAGCAAGAAAGTATTGTTAATTACCCTGGTGCAAAAACTGTAATCGGATTGAGGATGATGTTTTTCTTTTTAAACTTTGGCTAATGTGCTTGGGATTTGACTGTCCCTGGAACACGTCTACTAAAGAGAAGCAGACAGCAAGGAAAGGTGAGAACTTACTTTGTGTCTTTTTTTTTTTTTTTTTTATTGTTTCAGTTAACTACGGTAGCAGAGAAGTCTAGAATCCTTCAGCTGGAGGAAGAGTTGAGTGTCAGGCGCTGTGAGGTGGAGGAGCTGAGACAGTGCCTAAGGAACTCTCACCAGGCAGAGACCCCTGAGCACAATCTTGGTCTGCCGTCAGAGGCGCTTCGCCTGCGAGACCAGCTGCTGTCTGCCAGCAAGGAGCACCAAAAAGAGAGCAGCCAGTTAAAGGAGAAGCATGAAAAGACCCTGAAGAAGCACCAGCAGGAGATAGAGAAGCTGAAAGCCGTCAATGAAAAATATTCCCAGGAAATCGTTGACCTGAAACACAAAGTTCAACAAGCCACCAATGAGAACATGGGGCTGATGGACAATTGGAAGTCCAAGCTGGACACCTTGGCATCTGACCATCAGAAATCTCTGGAAGACCTCAAAGCCACCCTGAACACAGGCCCTGACACCCAACACAAGGAGATAGTAGAACTGAAGGCCGTGGTAGAGAGCATAAAGATGGAGCACCAACTTGAATTGGAGAACCTTAAAGCTAAGCACGATATCGAGACTGCGGTTCACATAAAGGAGAAAGAAAGTCTGAAGCTGAAGCTGCAGGAGACCAGTGACGAAGTGGAAGAAAGCAACAACAACTGGAAAACGCAACTGGAAACCAAAACAAACCAGCACCTTATAGAACTTCAGGACATGAAGGAGAAGTGCCGAGGTGCTGAACTGAGAGTGCACGAACTGGAGAAGCTACACAGTGAATATAAAGATCAGGCTCAAGCAATAGCTTTCTTGAAAGAGCAGATTTCTCTGGCTGAGAAGAAGATGTTGGACTATGAGACACTACAGAAAACAGAAGCCCAGAGTAAACAGGAGATCCAAAGATTGCAGGAAAAAGTGCTTGTCTTAGAGAACAAACTGCAGTCCATGGAGGCTCTGCATCCTTCTCAGCATGCCAATGTATGGGTTTGGGCTCTTCTGTTTATGTTGTTTTGTCCCTATTATTCCTCATAGGGCTAACCTGAATTTTGCCCTGTAGTATAATTTGCTTGGGCTTCTTGGCTTTAAAGCCATCTGATTATTTTTTTTGGATCTTTTATCCATATCTTTCATTGTTTTTTCTGAGCAATCCTATCACATTACTGGGTGGGCCCATGATGGGGGAGGAGGATTAGGCATTGCCTGCTCTGGGTAAAGGAGCCTGTCGTCTCCCTGCTCATGGAAGTGAGGGCACTTGTAAGGAGACCATTCTGCGTGGGGAGTTGGACTAGAAGGTGCTTGCTGGCAGCCAGGAGTAGCTAATGCGGAGGCGGTTCATGTGCTTCGCACAGGTGTCGCCATTACAGAAGGGCTGAACAGTCAGGGTAGAAAGGCAAAGACAGAACCGGTATGAGATTAGGATATAGCCTGACCTAGGACTTCACCTGAGGTCATCCTTCATTCAGTGGAAGTCAATGGGAGCCATAAGGGAGGAAGGCTGCTATGTGGTTAAGCCAGGAAACTGGTAGTTGGGACATGATGGGTCTATCCTGGCTCTGCCACCGACCTGCTGTATGAAGTTGGGAAAGAGCACTTGATTTCTGTCTTTCAATTTCCTCATCACTGACGGGGGCATTGATAAGTCCCTGTCTGGCAGGGTGTTTATAAGAGAAGGTTATAATGGAACAGCTGATGGGAATGGTCTCACAATGGGGGGCGGAGGGGAGAAGGGAAATCTGCCAATCAAGGCACTAGTCACACCTGATGAAATGCCTGACTTCAAGGTGATTCATCCACATCTTAGTGCTGATTGGAGGACAGGCAGTAACTATCATAACCATGGAGGGATCTGTTTCTTCTGAGCTTACTATATGTTTCTCTAGCCCACCAGCCTTGTTGTTCTGATGCCCTGCTGTCTGTCACATGGTAGGTACCCTTCCATCTTTATGAGATGACATAAGGACAAAGAGTCGGTCTGTGACTTATTCACACCACTTGTGCTAGATGATAGGAAAATCACTGCACAGCCTCTGCGTGTTTGGATCCTCTGCCCGTACTTACACTTTGCGCCAGAAGCTAGATAAAAAGAATATTCAAAGCAAGAGAGAGTTCCTGTCCCAGTGGGATACAGACAACCAAACGCAAGTCTTGGAATATACATTGTTTGCTTGAGAATAGGCATTTGGAAGGGACCCCACTGCTCCAAATTAAGGCCCCAATCCTGCAAACATTTACTATGTGCTTAATATTACTGCCCTGAGTAGTCCCATCAGTTGCATGGTAGTAAAGTTCAGCAGCTGCATGTGTGTTTGTTAGGTTGAAGCTTAATGCTAGTAAAATAGCATGTGTATTGGGTGTGAAAGGAGGGAAAGAAACAAAAAGAGAAGGAAGAATCTTAAGCATTAATAATGGTATTTGAAGGGTTCTCCAACGTACATCTCTCTCCTAGCTAGGCATGGATTCTAAATACAAAGGAGGCAATTCCAAAAGGCATGGCATGGAAAGCTACAGAGCTAAGGCCCCAGGATAGCTGCACTCAGGGAAAATACACAGGGAGTTCTTTAGTAGAAAACCCCAGTGTCATAGAAAAGAGTTTCTGTCTACGTCCAGTCCTAAGAAGAGTAAATAAAAAGAGAGAACCGAAGGTCCAATCCAGAACCCATTAAAGTCAATGGGAAGACAGCCATTGACTTTATTAGGCATTCGACTGGGCCTAACGTGTCTTGAAAGAACTAACAGTCAGAGAGAAAGCAATCATATTGACACTCTGATGCAAATTAAGGCCAAGAAAATGCAGCTTGCTGCTGGAATGAATGCCTGGACAAAAGCAAGAGACTGTCACTGACAGAGGGTAAATTCTGTTTTTTTAAAAATATCTTGGTTAAGTTAACATAACATGAATTATTCAAATATTTAAAATAAACAAATGTATCTTGTGACTATACAGACTCCTGCTTTCTCGTGCATTCAAACAGGTGCTTCGTGGGTTTTGGTAAGTTGCAGTGAGATGGCTTTTGTCACTGAGAGTCACACCAGAGGCAAGTCTTGCATCCTCAGAACCTGCTCCTACTTCTGTGAAGTCAGTGACCACAATCCACTCACTGGGCGAAGCCAATGGAACTTAAAAGTGCTTAAAGTTAAGCAGTGCTCAGATGCTTTGCTGTATCGAGGCCGTGGCTATAACTAATCAGTGCAATTGTCCCTTACGGCCAGGAGTCTAGTGATGGTAGTTAAGTAGTCAGAGGACAATAGCGTGCATACACTAAAATGGCCCCTAGACAGGTAGAATGTGGCATCCCCTGAGGAAAGAGGAAAAAAGCCAAGTGACTGGATTCCAATCCACAGTGGCCAATGCTTTGGGAGAGCAAGCCATAGGTGTGATTGGAGCAAAACCAGTAACATCGCGCCAAGCCGGCCGAGTGCACAGACACCTGCAGCTCATCTTTGAGCCTTGACTGTTGTTGTTGCCCTTCATACGGGAGTCGAGCTTTGTTTGGTTTGATGCCACTGATGTTCTCCTAGAGCTGCTGTCGTTTTAAAACAGTCTCCGCTCCCTTGCTACGGGTTGCAACAAGATTTGTCATGATGACGTTAATATCAGAGCCATTAGTGCTTCTGTGCCATGCTGTTCTTTTATAAACGTGGCCTCCACACATCCCCCTATATAAGTGAAAGGTCCTAGGTGGGTCTACATTGCTCCAAGGTAAGTGAGTTGTTAGTTGGACTAAAATTTCCATTTGATAAAAATAAGTCTGAAAGCTTAAAAGCACTGAGACTGCAGTTCGGAAAAGCACTTAAGCATGTGCTGCAGTATTACCCGGAACTGTAGCATGTGTTGAGTCATGGTAAATCACAGTATGTATTCTGATGCCAGCTTAGAGAGAAACCAAAAGGCAAGACACACAGAAGGAGTTCAAAAGACTCCTCGGGCCAGCCTTTACTTCAGGGACTTGCAATTTTGGGGTATCCAACTTGACATCCCTTGGAGGAGCCTAATTTTCAGAAGGTGCTGAGAACCTGTTCTCTGATAGTCACAGTTCTTTAAGGTGTCTCATGCTGAGGCCTCAAAAACTGACATACCCAAAATCCCTAGTCACTGATGAAAATGCTGAAAATGACTTCTTATCAGAGATGGTCCAAACCAAAACTCCAGATCGCCCCTCCTATCCCTGAGCTTTGGGGTGTTTGACACCTGGATCCAGAGTTTGCAGGTTGAGCCCATTCCTAATGATCCCTTTTTGCATACACTGAACTCCAACATTGTTGCATGAAAGTGGAAACTGGGCCCTACTTTGATCAATTGTGGAATTTGGGCCTTCCATTAAGATAATGCCAGCTGTACCCACCTCTGTGCTCAGCTGTCTAAGTGCCTTTTTAAAAATCACCTCTTTGATTTCCCTCTGAGAAGGATATAAATCTGATTGGCAAAATATGAAGACCAAAGGACATTGGTGCCAGTTGTGTTCCTTATTGTGCCTGCTAGAGTTTTAAATTCACTGACTTTGCTTTGATTCTACGGGAGAATGATGGGAAAGAGTTAGTGGGCATTTTGTGTGTGTGTGTGTGTGTGTGTGTGTGTGTGTGTGTGTGT